AGACCACTGCTAAAGATAAATTGTAAGGCGGTCAGTAGAACCGGGGGGGGGAGAAGGTTAGGTTAGGACCCCTCCCCAAATATGGAAATACTTCAAGGTAGCCACTCTCATCATACTCCCATAGATTCCTCTGAGCCTATATTGTATTGCAAATCTCCCCCATCCATACTCAAATGCTACTTGTCTACCTATACAGACTTATTAAACAGCTGAATCCAGATGCAACTATAACAAATCCAGAAGTTAGCCGGTTGGCCAAATTATGCAGCAAGCCCATTCCAAATGGCCTTTGGTGTAGTGGTTAAGTGTGTGAACTCTAATCTGGGAGAGCCAGGTTTAATTCCCCACTCCTCCACTTGCACCTGCTGGATGACCTTGGGCAAGCCATAGTTCTGATAAGAGCTGTCCTTGAAAGGGCAGTTCTCGCAGAGCTCTCTCAGCCCCACCTATCTCACATGCAATGCTCCCCCTAAGTTGTGGAGTCTTGTGAGCAAAAAACCTACTTTGTGAGCAACTGGCCTTAAGGCTGTGAGTGAGCAATCTGGCTACTGCATAAATTAGTTTGCTCTGGAGCCATCCTTCCTGAGCTAAAACAAAAATGTGTGAGGTGGGGGCTAAAAAACTGAGCTAGTTCACAATAACTCCGCTTAGAAGGAACACTGCTCACAGGGTGTCTGCTGTGGGGAGGGGAAGCGAAAGGAGTTTGTAAGCTGCTCTGAGGCTGAGTGAAGGGCGGGGCATAAATCCAATCTCTTCTCTGCATCTAGGCCCCTGGTCAGACAGAACTCTGGTCTCCTTTGCCTGGAGCCAAGTGTACTGCAGTACCTCTTCAAACTCCACCCCCCCCCCCAATAGTGGTACAAATTAAGCTTGTTCTCAAAAATATACCTAACCCATTGAAGATTTAGGCAACATTGTAGAGGCAGAAATTAGGGAAAGCTTTCTTCCAGGCTAAAGCAGAAGGGAGTACTCTTCAAAGCACCCCACTTCAAGAATGCAGTCCCCCCCCCCCACTTAGAAGTCATGCAAAGACAACCAGGCATTGTTAGACAGAATTTATACATTATATACAAAATGGCACTAACAGGAGCAAAATCAGCAAAAAACAAAACAGCTACTGTGCAAGTAGGACAATCAAAACCAGCTTATTCCTTCTCCCACCACCCCCAGGGCCAAAAGGCACAGGAGGTCCTGAGCACACTTACAGCTATCTCAGAGCAGTTTTGTTTGCTGTACTCTGTAACTAACCCTCCCCTTCAGCTGTGAAGTCTACAGATGACCAAGCTACCTCACTCCAGGGCAATGTGATCAGTTGTACAGATTCCCTAGCTCTGGAGAATTCTTGTTCCAAATACATCAGAAAAGGATTGTTACCAGCTGAATTGCCTGTACTTTGAGAGCTACATCCGGTAGCATTATGTGCAGAGGCTTAGTAAGAATGCAATTACAAAACATGAAGTGTTCACATGCATATGTGTGAGAGATTTTAGGAATACATTAGTGGCATCAACTGATTTATTGCACTATCAAAAGTTTGTCAATTGCTCAGCATGCAAAACAGTTCCTTCCCTATCCCTGGCTGACAACCTTAGCAGTCCTTACAAGCATGTTTCGACACAGGCTGGGCTGAAAGACAGTAACTAGTCCAAGGAAAGACAGAAATTTCACCCAAGTTTTTCCGTATTAGACGTCAACATCTATTCTGCTGCATCATACTGGGCTAACATATGGCTTTTGTAGTAACTAAGTGATTTTTTTTAAAAAAAGACTTCTTTAATGACTGATTTCTTTCTTTTTAAAAGACACTTCTAATAGCAAGGAACAGTGCCATGGGGCTTTGCCATCATCTTCAGCACATGCAAGAACCAGGGTGCAAGATCTATGCTTGGGAAACCAAGACTATGGCACTCTTCTTCCTCATCTGCACCCCAAAGAGTGGCTTCCAGGATCTTCGTGGTTACTGTCTCACCACACTGTAGAAACTCTACTGTAGAATGGATGCTCTTTTGCTACTGCCTTTGTCTGATGGAGGAATTGTGTGCTCTGAATTCCAGCAAGAGGGGGAAAAAAAGATTTTCCACAAGCGATCCCTACTTTGCAAGGCCAGCTTCATCTCTGTCTCTTTTCAGACATTTCGTCCATCTAGTAGCAAAGACCTTGTACATTCAGCACGAACAGTGAACCCACCACCTCAGCGGCAGACTGTCGGAAAGCAGAATTATGCATTTTTTTTAAAAAAAACTTTAATAAGAAGCTCAAGTCTAAAATGTCTCCTACGAACTCAGACTTCTGCAGCCACAGCTGGTAGCTTCACAGGTACAATTAATCCCAATGATTTGTAGAATAAAAGGAGGATGGTCTGGGTTGAGAAGAACGTTACAACCAATTCCTGTAGTGGCCCACGCTAGGGATGCCAGCAACGATCTCGGATTCAATTCCACAGTGGTCCCGGCCTCGGAGGATTTTAAAGTAACCTAAAGAGAGAGAGAAATAAAGAAAACACTGTATGATTTCCCCCCTACATTTGCAAGCTCATGGTCATGCCATCAAGTGCCCAAGTCTCTGCTGCAAACAGCTATTAACACTTCAAGAATCTACTGTCAGCAAAGGCAATACCAGGTGCACCTGTTGAGAAAGAATGTTCCCAAGATGAGGGTCCATATCATCATCCCCTTGCCCTTCTGCTACTTGGGGTGCTCAGAGAAATGCCTCTGATTCTCTTGGTGAGTTGCAGACCCATTGGGAAGGGTGACTATCCTGGAATTAAATCCCATATCTCCACTAAGACTGGCCTCCAAAGCAACTTGTTACAGAATCAGTTTTCCCCTGCTCCCAACAACATGGATAAGAGAGCAAACCAGGAGTTGGTTTTTTAAATCTGTCAAATAATATGTATTGCCAAGAAGTTTGACCAGAAGTCTTATCTGGAAATGGGAAAATGGCAATATCGGAGTCGTGTGAGAAATGTGCTTCAGGAAGGTATTCTGCCATCTTGGCACTACCACAGAAAAGGCCCTGTTCCTAGCAAATACCTGCTTCTGACAGTGGAAGTATTTAGAGCTGGGTCTCAGCAAATATAGGATGCTGACAAGTTACCCCCTTAGCAATCAGAAGTCAGGGTTTTAAAAAAGGTCAGAGCCAGCACTTTGATGTGTACCGAGTAAGTGGAGCTCTTGCATGCACCTGGAGTAAGCAGTAAGTCTAGGTTCTCAGCCCTCCTCCCAGGAAAATGGTGCCGTTCTCACAATATGAGGATGGTCCCACATAAGGAGAGGTAACTTAAATCTGCTCCAAAACTGGTCACCTACCATTGTCACCCCAGTCTGTGTTCCAGGAATTAGCCACCAACCAGTAAGGGGTGCCATTTTCTTCTCCCCAGCCAAGGATTCGGATAGCGTGACCTCCAACTTCCTCTCCAGAGACATGCTGATAGACACCTGCAGAAAAAAAAAAAGTTGCAGCTTCCTCTAATGCTGGATCTAGGGCCCTCTTACTACAGTCACCACTCAAGCCAGCCAAAGGTATGTTTAGGCAAGGTATCTAGAAGGCACAACCTATTTTATCAGGCCCAAGGTTTGATTCTCATGAAGGGAGATTTAAGAATTTTGCTAAAAATACTGCATGTTTTGCAACTGAAGAAACCTCTGCAATGAGAACCACATATTTCTCCCCACAGATGGACTCTGGGTCCAGACAATCTGCTGTTATTGGTAAGCTGAGCAGACTGCATCCTTTTGGTCATGAAGGAAGAGGCAGGGAGCACTTGCACAGAGCGGAATGGAAATTCATTTCCGAGAAACTTGGCCCAAATTCAGAAATATTTAAAAGCCTGGTTTTATAGAACTTTCATATGTTTGCTTTAATGATTCAAGTGTATGGGTTTAACCGAGCACTGTAATGAGACACGTAACACTTTACATAGTAATATGACACTTTACAAAACAAAGCAGTGGTTAATGCTTTTTATGCTAAGAGAATTGGATTAACTCCGTAAAATTCTCAGAGCTGCTGAGTTTCATTAGAGATCTCTGTGTCCCCCCCCCCCCCTTCAGTTACAGAGTGTGAGGCTGTCCATTCTGAAGGTACACTTCCAATTCACCTGCGTATTAAGGAGTTAAATGCAGGCACTTCTTGTACCATTTTACCTTGAAGTCACTTAAAATTTTTAACTGGTTAGGCTTACCTGATTTGTACATGAGGAAGTCAGAGTACACCAAGAAAGCTCCCTCCACTGGCCCATTCTTGTAAATCTCCGCCATTATTTCCTTTTCACTACGAGGGACACCATAGGAGGTAGCCCCTAGAAATGATTGGAGTGAAAAAGTAGGACATAGAAATTTTAAAAACTGCTTTGTTCAGATCTGCTGACCTCCCACCCATAAACTTCCTGCTGCCTCATGGCAGCGCCTGGCTCTGAATTCCAATCTGCTAGGTTTCCTTAGGATGTTTTCTCAAGCTTCTTCCTAACCTACAGGGACTAGAAACATGCTTTTCCCTTTTAGAGACAGCCATATACATGCTGCAAAAACTGCCTTAGTTGGCCAGGTGAACAAGAGCAGCATGGTGGCACCATCCAGTAGTAAAGCTGGAGTTTATTGGAGAAGGTCGATGATACTGATAGGTTCCCTGAAGCTTTTTGTTTTTATTACAGTTTGCGGTCATCGTTAAGCGGCTTCAAAAGTACTTATTTGACTAATTTAGTACAATTTTTATTCTGCCTTTCCTTTAAGGAGCTTGGGGGAGCTTATGTTGGTCTCTGAGAGCTAAGCTGACCACAATGGCTGAGCATCATGGCACTGTGGGGAGGTGAACTTGAGGCTTCCAGATCCCAGTCCAACATTTTAACCGCTGTCAAAGCTGCTCTGTTGCCTGCTTGTAACTCAAAGGCCTATCCTAAACTCGAGTATTTATTTTAGTAGACTTCATTACCGTAGTGCTTGTCACTCTGGTATGCTGGAGAGTAGCCTGCTTCGCATGCCTTCACGCATTTGGGGGTCTCACCACCCTCACCAGTGCAAGGGGGTCGGGATCCGTTGATGTGATGCTCACAGGGTGGGATAGAATAGGGCCTGCAGCCTGTTGGATGGAAATCAAAACAGGGAGTCAAGTACAATTCGGGAATACCCTTTCCATGGAGCACTGAACCCCAATGCTGCACCCAATGAAATCCAAATGCCAAGGGAACAGCAGAACAGAATGAGCAGGGAACAGCAGAACAGAAGGTAGTATTAGAGTCCACAGGAGGGGTGCACTGCTCATTCACATGGGCAAGGATTGATCCTGATTTAAACTAAGAAGGCTGCACTCAAAGTGTAAGAAAAAGGGGCCATAGCTCACTGGTAGAGCATCTGCTTGGCAGGTAGAAGGTCCGAGGTTCAACCTCTGGCATCTCCAGTTAAAAAGATCAAGTAGTAGGTGATGTCTAGAAGACCTCCCCCAGGCTCAGACCCTGGAGAGCCACTGCCAGTTTCAGTGGACTATCCTGATCTTGGTGGATCAGTGGCCTTAGTCAGCCTAAATGCAGCTTCACGTGACATCAAGCCCCACCCTGTAAGTCTCAGGGTCTAAAATGTCTTAAAAACCACCCTGTCCTTTCCCCCTCCATCAAAATGTCTGGAAATTTAACATCTGTCAGGCTTTGTCTGGTTCAGGGTACAAGTTAGAAACCACTGGTCTACAGTATAGACAGGAACGATCGAGGGTTGAGACAGCCTTGGCACTAAATTATCCAAGAGGCAGCCACCCACTTTCTGCTCTTCCTGATTCCCTTTTGCATTCAGTTACATGCTATGAACTGGTCCCTTTTCCATTTGTTCCAATGTCACTGTTGTAGCTTTGGTGAGCTAAAATTGAAACTGGCACCTGATGCAGAGCTGTATTTTGACAGCACTTTGACACCGGCATTTTGGAATTCCATTTCTTGGCCTAAACAAGGCCCCAGGAGGCCAGAAACACTGGAAGAAATAAAGGTAGCCAATAGGTGTGCGCGCACACACACACGAAAACAGTAGTTTTCAGGTTCAAATATATTGAACCCTAAATATCAGTATTTCCCACTATTCCCGAGTCCTAATATTGGTATGGTATTGAGATTCAGATTCAGGAAACATTCAGGAGCAACAAAAATTTTCAGCTCCATTATACCCTATGGGGACCATTATAGTCAATGGTCCCCATTGGCTGGAGAATCAAGCCGGAATTACTGGGGGCTCGGGGGGGGGGGCTGTTTTTTGAGGCAGAGGCACCGAATTTGCAGCATCTCCTCAACACCCACCCACCCCGTTTAAAAAACATTGGACCAGAGGAATTCATGACTGCAGCAGAAGGTCACAGTCAGTGTTCCCTCTAAGCTGTGGAGTCTTGTGAGCTGCTGGTATTAAAGTTGTAAGTAAGCGATTCAGCTACTGCATAAATTATTTTGGTCTGGAGCCATCCTTCCTGAACTAAGACAAAAATGTGTGAGCCAAAGCCTAAAAAACTCTGAGTTAGCTCACACTAACTCAGCTTAGAGGGAACACTGGCCCCAGTGGAAGTTTACTGGTTGCTGGTTCACTTGGTAACAACTGGACTTTGTGCAAGATGAGCAACAAACTGCAAAACAAAACAGTCAACATTCGGGCTGTGGGGTGGGGAATGACAACTTGCTGTGAAGAACAATGCAGGCCCCCCCCCCCTCCGCCATGAGCACTTTGGTGTGTGAAGTGACTCACCAATATGCGAGTCATAAAGCCCACCGGATACCAGGCCTTTTTCTGTCCAGTACTGCCATGCACCCGAAGGATAGCCTCCATTGCATCTGCAAGAAAAGTAATAATTATGCACACCTATTTGGATGCTCCTGTAGAAATATAGGAAGGATAAAGGAGACAAGGTATTTGCAGAAAACTGGGGACAACATCCCTCTGGAGAGCTGCAGAGCCACTGTGGTCATCAAGTGCAAGAACCTTTGGAGGAGCTCATGACTTCCTCTCCTTCCCCCACCTTAAATGGCCAAGGTACTTGAGGCTTTTATGTTCAGGCAGCTCTCAGTCCACCAATCCTTCCCCCAAGCTTTTTAACAAGCAAGTTGACTTGAGCATGCTTTCTTGAACTCCAAAGGCTTCAATCCTGGGAACTTTATTTAAGTAAAGGAACCATAAGTAACTCTGAAGTCTCAGGCTATGGAAATTACTTACCCCATCCCGCATTCAAAACCACAACAAGACAGCAAGTCTTCAGCAGAGATCTCCACGTTCACCTTGGCATTGGTGTGAACACAAACCCGGTCTGAAATGGATTCCACTGCACCAAATGCCTACAGAACGGCAATGCCAAGAGTCAACTAAGACTTTGGTTTTAACCTCCAAGTCCTTACTGTACACCAAGAGCTTAATATTCCATGTATTTTGTTTGCTTTCCATGTGCATGGAAGTGTCTTAGAAGTAAAAGTGTTGGTGTCCTGAAAGACTAAATTTCTAGGCCTGGTAAAAATCTGGAATGAATCCCCCCCAACACACACACCCTGTGGATGTGACTCCATATGATGTCCCTTTGACGTCTTCAACTAACAGTGAAATAACACAACAAATCCTGAAAGGGAGGAAAGGAACCAGACTGCATGCAAGTAGGAACAGATTAAGCTTTCCCTCTCTAAAAATGTTTTCAAAGTTCATATGACAGGAGGGGAGACTATAGTGGTGCTGGGCACTTATGCTCCTTCCTCACAAGCCCCCACTGTACCCTCCCCTTGACACTTCCTACACTGCTATTTATACAGGAAACAGGGCTACTAGAAAAGCTCTAATGTCAGACATACCGTAACCCAAGATGGCTAACTACAAGCTCCTTTCTAATGATCATTTTTCTCTAATGGGGTTTGGAAGTCTGACAGAGACATTAGGATTTGCCTTATCTCTCATAACCTCAGGGAAAAGCTGACTAGGTTTGTGTGTGGCTAGGAAAGGTGCACACACTGACTGACAGCACTGAAACGTGTGTCTTCCAAAGCAGAGGGAAGCTAGGGAGCAGACCTCAGCCTATGGAGTATTATGCTCAAGTAAACTTTAAATAGGTTTACAAAAATCAGAGTGAAACTTATTTCTAAAAATCAAGAGGGAAACTTGTTTCTACTCTTATAGACTGGACAGGTAGGTTCTGGCTAGCTGTCTCTCATTCTCTGAAACATTATCATACAACAACTGTTTTTCTGACTCTCACACCCCTACATTTGTATACAGTTTAATACCACAGTCTCTTTAGCCTGTGCTGGTGTTTAAGTGCCGTCAAGATGCTTCCAACTTCAAGTGACCCTGTGAATTAATGACCTCCAAAACATCCTTTTGTTAACAGGTCTTGCAAGCCGAGGGCCTTTGTGGCTTCCTTGATTGAGTCAATCTCTCTCATGTTGGGTTTCCTCTCTTCCGACTGCCTTCAACTTCTCCTAGCATTATGTCTTGTCTTATGACAATGTGACCAACAATGGTCTCAATTTAGTCATTTTAAGCTTGTGGAGTTTTTTTTATTTCAGGTATACAAATAGACAACGGTTATATTGGGTCAATACAAGTCTGGGGGACGTAGCAAGTGGGTTACCACAGATTCCATAGGCTAACCACCTATGAATTTTTAACCATTCTAAGGCTTTAAGCAATTCCCTGCCTTCTTTACTGTTTTAAGTCTGCCTCGTGATGGGGCACGACATGGATGCCAGTCCTTAAAGTCAATAAAATATCATGCTACCAAAGAGAAGACAGTGGTGGTTTATTAAATGGAGGTTTCCCCCATCAAAACAGAAAAGGCCTTTAAGGTTTCTACTCACTCGTCCACCAACAAATACATTATTCCCATTTGAACCCATGCCCAATGAAGCATCACACCCTGCCAGTCCCAGGTGACTCCTTTAGCTACTGACATTAGCCTTACCCAGCAAGAGCCGCAAGAACCTTGATCTCTGATCTCGTTAATTGTTGGACAGTTTGGCCACTGCTGCCTGGAGTCAAAGCTGTCAGGTAACACCATGTCATCTGCAAACCCTAGCCTGGGCAGTGGGATAGAAGGGAGAGAAATGCAAACGAAGCATGTCAGGTTAAGCCGTCTTGCCACATACTTCAAGTAAACACACTCAACGGAACAATGCTAACCAGCTAGGTCAAAGTTCCATGACATCATCCGGACTATACCACATCCCCAAAGACCAGAAGAAGCCTTCCAATAAGCCAAGCTAATAGTCTGCCCCCCCACCGTGTAATCTACTACCCAGAAGAAGCCCCAAGGTTTACTGCCTACTAAATTTGAGAGATGCAAACTCATCCTAGTTAAAGCACCAAAGACTTTTTAAGAGACACTTTGAGATGTGAGTTGCATTATTTGATGAATCCTGTGGCCTGATGCTCACCTGTAAGCTGATCTGAGAGTTTTAGCTATAAATCAGGTTACAAATTGAGCACATTACGAAGGTTTCATAGTACTATAATCAGGATGTTATTTATTGAAAGTTACAGCTTATCCTATGGCTACTGTCTATGTTAATAACTGAATAGCCTAATCTAGCCCTGAACTCTTTGCTTCCAACATCCCAGCATCCCTCAGGATGCTAATGATTCAGAAGTCCTATTTTAAATCTACTAGTAGTACCAAAAAATCTGTTGCAATTAAGGGTTCTGAGAACTAGTTTTTGTGAATGTGAGAAAGTTGGGACCAGGGTACCATTTACCTAGGTGCCCTTGCCCCCAGAAAGCCCCAATACTGTTGGCAAATTGCCATTCCCCAGCAGAGGCAGCCATATTTGGCCTTTTTTTTTTTGGTAGGGATTGAACACGTGCACTTACATCTTTGATGTCACTACCAGGTGTCAGACACAAGCCCCTCCCTCTTTGGACTGCACTATTCTGCTTTTTGAAAGCAAAACAATCCATTTCCTATTTTACCCCCATTTTCTTGTCCCCTAAAGTTTGCATGCTTGAGAGTGCATATCTCCAGAACCTTAAAAAATTAAATAAGCTATCCAACAGGAAGCAGTGAAGAAACCACTGTACAAAAAGCCTCGAAGTTAATACACACATGACAGGATTAAAAGTAGAAGAAAAAAATACTCCACCTTATTGGAAGTTTGGGGCCATTCAAGAATGTACCACATAACTTTTTCACATAACTCATCTCAACATTGTGAAAGTTATGCCCAGCCTTGAAAAGAAAAAGAGAAGAAATTTAAGGCAGCCCACAGCTTGCAAGGCCAAGAACACAGGCAGTATTCAAAGACACCAGCGCCTGAAAGCAATGAGCCAGAGTAATGAGCCAGGTGGTCCTTTACATAGCTGAATCTGTAGGTCAAGAGTAGAGATCCTCCAGCACACATGACAAACAGCATGCCACTGCATTTTGCCAGGCATGGAGGGCCCATTCTCTGCCAAGGCAAACCTCTGAGGCACTGGTAGGACTTCTGAGGCTCAGACTAGACATTGTCTCTCTCCTGTTCTTTTGTTTGCTGGCACAGAAACAATCTTGCTCAGTAGAGGATAGGTTTCTCTTATTTTGTACTAATCAAAATGGTGGTAGGTAATATTTTCTTGCTAAAACTGTCCACATGCTAGAATGCAGGGTGGGTCAAGAAGCTTGGCGCAGGGAAAGACTATCCCACAGACCAGGTGAGTGAAAGGCATCGCATTCCTATACATTATGTACTTTCCTCTACCGCCTGTTCCAAATGGGCTCAACACTTTATTTCCAGTCATACCTTGGCTTTCTGCACCTACCATGGACAGGATTTCTACATTTCTAATGTAGGGCCCTCTACTGGGGTATTCCAGTGAACAGTTGACACTGACTATACCTCCTACCCGCATGCCATGCCCAACCGAAATGCTACTTACCTGCCATGTAGTGTTGAGTTTATTAACATAGTTCACCAAGTCCTGAGAGAGAGGAGGAAAGTAGGGAACACCGCGGGCATTTGCAAGGGTTGCCAGAAGACATAGAGAGGCTATGGGCAACAACATCTTGGCAAGCAAACTTCTAAGAGGCCACCTGAAAGGACAGAGATTTCCATGACTGTAACAAACTAGACTCTAAAACAGACTAGCCCACCTGTACACCAATTTCTGTCAGTCAGGTATATTCTAAAAGAAGCCTGCAGATCTGCTCTGCCTGATACAGTTCTTGGTTCATCAGAAGTAACCAGGCGAGTGGCTATCTACAAACTTGAGTCACCAGTTTATGGGGGGGGGGGGGGGGAAGAGTACTACATTGAAGCCAGGCAAACAGTAGATCCAGCACCATATCTGCTCACTAGTAGTCAGATAAAAAGACACTTAGGATAATAGTAATAATTGATTTCGAGGTCTGCCTGCTTTGAAATGTCTTCTGCCAGACTGGAATAAAGGACCCGGTTGCCTCACTGTAGCTTTAAATGGCTAGGAGAGGCAACCACAACAACACTACAGCGCTTTCCCACCTTAAAGTCAAGGGCCATAAGTGAGAAGTGGAGCACATGCGTTGCATACAGGATCAGGCCCCAGCACCTGAGGTGAAGCCCTTGTAACAGGGCTGGGGTGAGACCCACTGCCAGTCTCAGTAGACTGCACTATACCAGATGTCCCAAATTCTTACTTGGAAGAACATCCTTTCCTGTGCCCTTTTGGTTTTCTAGTAGCTTCTCAAAGCTCTGGGATGATATTATGGTAGCCTCTCCATTTGTGCTAACTACAAACAGCACATTACGTGATTTGACTACATCATACAGTTTGAACTGAGGCAGGGTTATAAGGTATTTGTGCATAATGTTGGGAAGTAAAGGAGCAGATGAGAATCCCTGAACTATATTAGCTAGATTCTTACTGGGGCCCTCAGAGACAGCCAAGTTGAAAAGGTCAAGAGATACCCACCACCTACAGGAAGATTTGATCTCTAATGTGGGACAAATGTCACACAACTAGAGTCTCACTTTGACTAAACAGGAAAAAAGTACTGCAGTAATATGGTGAGTGCATATTTTCATGTGTGGAAAATGGAAACGCAACTCAACAGTTAACCACACAAGAAAGAGTGAGAGCAGCAGTGCTTCTAGTAGGTCACGAAATCTGAATCAACATTAACAAGCCTCTTAACAAAAAGGTCTCTGATGCAGATGTGTGTTTTTAGTGAGGTTCCTCTGGAAGCCCCCCTCCCCCACCCACTGCAATCAATCCTGTGAATACTTTTTCTCCCAAGACTGACCTTTGCACGTTCGAAGCAGAACATACATGGCACCAACTGGCTGTTCCCCATGTCAACAAGAAACATTCCTCCCCAAACAGTTTTGTAGGACTACAGCCTACCCAAAACAGGAGGAGGGTTGGGTATACACTTTTCAGCAGTGCAGCCATGCTAACCCCCATGGCTAAGGCATTTCCTATCCTTGAGACCTAGTTGTTCTGTGGGGAAGACCAGTATAACAACTAGGTCTCAAGGACGTTAAGCCTATCTCTTGTGTTGTACCACTATCTCTTGTGTTGTACCAAGGAATGATAAGATGGAATGTTGTTCCATACAAAAAAAGTTTCCTGCATATAAAAAACGGGCATCTTTAGCCTGACCTAGGGTCTTTCAACATGGCTTCATTTAACTCCTCTCTTTAACCAGAGTGAATTGCAATCGGTATTAACACACCTTCAGGGTAGTCGTTAATCCTGCTTACTTAGAAGAGCAGTAAGATATGGTCCAGGATTACAAAGCACAGGTAGACTCCTGTAGTCTTGCTTATAGAGCAAGCTTGTTTTCGAAAAATGCTCATTCCTATCTGAAGATAGCACAGTTTGTAGGTCACACTGAGTTCATCAGTTGCCTCAGAATCCAATGAACTTTTTGAACTCATTCAAGAAGTGTTTAAATTGCATGCAGAAAAAATGCTGTTGTTTCTTGGCCAATATTCATGATAAATTCTACATCATCAGGAGCATCATGGAACCCACAATTTCTAGTTTCTAGGGAACAGTTCAGCTGAGATTGGCGGGGGGCGACACAATATCAGAAATGCTCTTTGGCAGACCTAGTGCTTATTTGAACACAGTGGCTCATGACTACAGGGCACAGTACACTGATGATAACCGTTAATGTTTTACAGAAAGAAGCATGTTGAATGTGCCAAACTGCAAAGTTCTTCGGATAGAGAAATCCATATAAATGCAACAATGTTGTTTTATACAGAAGTTAAAACAAAAGTTGCCTGCCAAAATGGAACTACTACTTTTTTTTTTGAGTTTTCAAGCATTTTACTTAGATTTCGTTGTTAACATACAAACTTCATAACATTGTAAATTGAAACAAATAAACAGTGCAGTGAAGGTGAGAGGGTTACATATATAGTCCAGCAAAAAGCCAATAACAGGTGAAGAACGCATTAAAGGTAATATGCGAAGTTGTGTATCTGCCTAAATAATAAAAGGAGCTCTGTTAAACCATTTATGAGTTGCCTGAAAGTACCGTCTACTGGTAGGGATTATAAATTATAGTTAGGATGACATGTTCCCTGTGTGTTAGGGGTCTTTTCTAATCAGAAGTGGAGCCAAGACGTTAAGTTCGGGTTTTGTGGCAAAAGGCCATTTTCTGTCATATATTGAAAGAAGCAAAACCAGGTGTGCATGAATTTGGAATATGTCGTTCCATAATTTGATTGAGATGTGGTCAAAGTGTCATTAATTTTTTCAATAATAAATTGCTCCCACACTTTATTCCTCCACTCTTCTATCGTTAGTGGTTTAGTCGATTTCCAAGTGGCTGCTATGGTGAGTTTTGCTGCTGTGAGTAAGTATGTTGTGAGATGCGTGAGAGGGACTTCTCCTTTTGCTGGGTCTCTGAGATGTAAGAGAACAGCTTCTGGTAAAACGTAACTACTACGAATGATCTTTCGTCATGGGCAGAAGACCCTGAGGCCATGGAGGCAATGCACTAAGCATACCCCTTATGAGACCAGGCCTGAATGCATGATGCCATATTGCAGGGACACAGAAAGAGCACAATCTGGTACAGGTCACAGAAGCCAGCTTCCGTAACATCATTTTTCTTTAAAAGGAAAGTTTCTAGTCCTTAGGGATGCAAATATGCACTGTGAATATACTGTGGAAATCTGAAAAAACTGGATGATGAGGGCTCCCCAGCGTAAGGCACAGTCCTTTGCAGCAGCCATACCAGAAAAACTAGAATGATTCATAGGTGACACATTCTCTCAGTAGCCCAATTTCTGATCAGTGTTAAATTCTGCTCCAAGGTAACAGATTCTCTAACAAAAAAAGAACTTGAATTTGACCAACTTATCCCAACCCAGCCCTGAAGTACTCTGTGAGGACTGGATGCACTGGGGCCAATTAGTCTTTCATTTAACATCTCGTTTGCTCCGCAATCCTTCCAAGACAGCTGTAGTCCCAAACGGATACTTGTGGTTAAGCCACTCTCAGTTTCCCCATTTTACATACACCCTTGACCAGCTGCTATATAACAAAATAACCCAGAAGGCAGAGAAATAAATGGCATTTCATCAGGCTGAGAACTGCCAGACCACGTGGGTAACTAGTTTCACTTCTGATATTCTCAGGAAGATCCCTTCTCGTTTCTACAGCCAACTTCACAGGTTATTCAAGAGCCCATAACCGTATTACAACAAGACGGAACAGAGACCAGAGGCCTCCAAGTTGCTAATCTAGTTTTAAATAGTTACATGCAAAACAGCTCTCTGCTTCAGAGGGTGAGAGACTGTTTTCCTTCTGCACTAAAGCAGCTAGCCCTCTCGCAGCCAGAGTCTGATCTACTAGTCCTCACCTAGCTGTACCCCCCCCCTTCCCAGTCTCCACTGCCTGGCTACCTTCCTACCAATTTTAGGGCTGTAGGAAGTACGCACAACTGGGTCATCCCAAATTGACAGCCACCACCTGCAATATACAGTGGTGCTACCCTTTCTACCACCTCATTCAACTCCATGTGTGAATAAGGCTGCACGGGGTTATGGCTTGGCAGCCAGGCCCAACTGTTACAAGAAGGAGTTTGTGTGTACCACCCTGAGCCCCTTGGAAGGAGGACACAAATGTGAAAAGAATCAGAGAGAGGTTAGGATGTCACTTAAGGACTCCTTCAAACACTTTTACTTTTGTGCCACCCTAAACAGCAATTGTGCACTTTTGAGGGAAATTTCATTTCACATGAACATAACTTTTTTTTAAAAGGTGTCTCATAGGATTCACCAGAAGCCTGTGATTTTCATAGACATTGTGTCAGCGCACGTCTGAAGACATTCTTAATATGCAAATATTGTGTTTGCCATTGTCCAAGAACAAAGCCTATGACTGGAGGTCGTAACTTTGCTGCATAAATGAAGCTTTTCACATTACAGGAAGTTGGGGGGAGGAAGGAAAGATAGACCAATGCCTGAAACACCCAGGATTAACATCACAAGATAATGACCCAAGACCAACATCACAAGCTTCAAAATAAGTTGGACAAGAACAGGCAAACAACCCCCCCCCCCAAAAAAAAAACCAAGACAGCCGACTAGTCTTTCTCCTTCCCCTAGTCTAAACAAGAAGCTGCCAACTCAGGATTTTGCTGGAGATAAAGCCAAGGAGACTTGGTACTGTGTTTGTAGTGAGCTGGTTTTTACTACGATAAAAGTCATCAAGATCAAGAACAAAGCAGATATTATTCACCTGTACCAGGCTGTCAGAACTTGTTTCCTCCCCCCCCCCCAAAATGGCATAAATCCCTCTAGAAACACAAAAGCCTCAGAGTTGGACAGCAGCCACAGCCCAATATCCCTGCCACTCCTCACAGCGATTGCTTCCCTTCTCTTGTTTCAGCCCAGTTTTATTGCACAATCAGAACAAGTTCCTTTTAAAAAAGGTTTGTGCCACCCCCCACCCCCCAATTCTGTATCATTTTGCTGTTCTCAGGTTTCAGCTTCTGATATTCAAAGAACTCTTCCTGCATCAGTGTATCCACTGAGAAACACACCACCAAGTTTGTTTGTAGAACTTGTCCCAGAACCCTTTGCAACACACATGTTCACACTGCCACTAACCTGGCTCCTTGGCCAGGATACTGGGCCTCACCCTAGACATGCCGAGCAAGGAGAACAAATCCAACAACCTCATGGAGGAGACTGGTAGCAAGGGGCAAGCTGTGTTTCAAGGAAGTGTGGCACTACAAGTCTTCTCATGGAGGAAGCACTAGCAAACTCACAAAGATAAGCCCACAGGAGTCCGCTTGCAGGGGGTGATAGTTTTCAAACTGTGCCTTAAGAGAGTTGGACCTCGTGGGCTGAGCCTTGGATCACCATCAAGGCCAGAACTAAGCAATACCAAAGCAAACATCAACTCATTAGCCCTAGCTCAGCTGGCAAATGTGTGTATTATTAGAAGAGAAAAGCCCCTCCTCCTACCACCCAACCTAGATGGAGTCTACTTCCAGCCACTAAGCATGCTGAGCGGCCTTGATTCAGTCACTCAGCCCAACCAACTTCATAGGATTTGTGATAAAATGGTGTCTTTTTGGTGTGGGTGTGTGTGTGGAATTGGATTCCACCTTTAGCGCTTTACAGAAAGATAAAAATATAGGAGCGAACCTCCTGAGCCCCAGAAATTCTCTTAATGCCTGACCCCCACAGACCCCCCAGCAACGCTGAATCCTCAAATCAGTTTCAAATCATTTCTGTCATGGGCCAAGTTCCAGCACTAAGAGGGATTGCCCCATATGGTAAATTGCTTTGGATTCTTAGAGGATGGTGACACACAATGCCACAGGAGCAAGGAATCGGTGTAGAAAGAGGGGACCTGAAAATAAAAAAGTCAGAAACTCCAATGGTCTGTCAACCCTAGGAACCTGGGAGACAGATGGAGAGATTTTCCAGGAACCACATCTTATCTTAACCCTGCCCTTCCTCCAGGGGGCTCAAGACGGCCTAAATCAGGGGTGGCCAAACTACAACTCAGGAGCCGCATGCAGCTCTTTCACACAGTATAATTTTATGTTACTAAAAAGCAAATTTGCATTAAAAATGTGTGTAGTATTTGTTCATGTTTTGCAGCTCTCAAAGATTTGACGTTTATTCTGTGTGGCTGTTACGTTAAGCAAATTTGGCCACCTTTGGCCTAAACAGTCCTCTCAGCCTCCAGATGTTTTTATTCATAGTTGTACATCCCCCAAAACCCTGTGGTAGCAGGGATGGGCAATTCAGAAATCTAATAAATAATAATAATTTTGTCTTCACATTTATTTATCTTTTAACTTTATATCTTGCCTTTCTCCCCAATGGGGACCCAAAGCAGCTTATACTATTCTTGCCTCCATTTTATCCTCACAACAACCCCATGAGGTAGGTTAGGCTGAGAGAGTATGACTGGCCCAAGGTCACCCAGTGAGTTTCCATGGCTCAAATGGGGATTCAAACCTGCATCCTCCAAATACCAGTTCAACATTCTTATCCACTGGCTCTCTTTGAGGTACAAGAGGCTGAGATAATAGAACTGTGAAGGCCATGACCCAGTTGCAGTGGTGCTAGCACCTGATGGCTCATGAGTGGAGACTGTCTGGCACCAGCGCTCTTATTCAGCCAAGTGGGCAACAGAAGAAGAGATTGGATTTATACCCCGCCCTTCACTTGGAGTCTTAGAGCGGCTTACAATCTCCTTTCCCTTCCCCTCCCCACAACAGACACCCTGTGAGGTAGGTGGGGCTGACAGAGCTCTTTCCAGAACTGCTCTTTCAAGAGCAGCTCTGACAGAACCATGGCTTGCCCAAGGTTATCCAGCAGCTGCAAGTGGAGGAGTGGGGAATCAAACCTGGTTCTCCCAGATTAGAGTCCACGCACTTAACCACTACACCAAACAGCATCCCCCCTCTGCCACCCTGAATGGTCCTCCCTGGGGCAGGCCTTAGAAACCTCGGCAACACTAGAAGAAGCTCAAAAGTAAGGCCGCTAAAGGGTGAATGGGGGAACTTAGTCAGAAGCCCAGAACTGAGGAGAAAGGCAAAGGAACATGGGGAAAGCCCTCATACAGAGCCAAAGGAAAGAAGAATCTGGAGAAGTATGGAGCAAAACTTTCCACACATCACAATTTCAACCAGCCTTTGAATACAATTCTGCTGTTCTCCCAGTCCACAATACAGGGCCTGTTTATAGATTTTTCAAGCTGTCCTTTGAGTTTCTTGCTTTACCCTTCTACCTCTATTAGGCTGAAACTCAGCTGCTGAAGGCCAATGATTAAAAAAAAAAGAGCCTCTATTAAATTATAGCATACACATCTCCAACAGGTTCATATCTGCAGGAAGCAAGTTAGGATTGGCTTTTAGTTTGATGTTTAGCATAGGCAATATGGTCTGACTCATCAATGTTTTGTGCAGGGTCCTTTGTCCTCCTCCCTCTATCTTCCTGGAAACTGCACTGAGACTTGTTTGCTTGGCAGAGCATCAAGTCCACCACACAGCAAAATGAAGCCACACCCAAACCCCCAAGTTTGTTAGTTACCATCAGATCCGCACAAAGTATTTGCATGCAAAACAAAAGCCTTGTGGCAACATAAAGATTGGTGAAAGTATTTCCTGTATACACGGTCAGGAATTAGAGGACACTTCCCCAGATACATAAAACATGTCCTTAAGGAGGCACAGGCCTGAGCACACACACACACACACACACAGCATAGGAAGAGGCACACAGATCAGAATGCCTACTAAATGTAGATTTCCCCCATCACACTTCATAAACTAACCCACGTAAACCCACCACATGGGTACAACATAATTAGTGTTGAGGGGGAATACCTCAGTCTACCTTAACAGAACTGCCCCCCCAATACCTCCCTCAAGCCGTTTTCTCAGGACTCTGCCTTGTCAACACTTTACCACCCCAATCCCACTTTACGGTTTTAGAAACTGCAATATGTTGCCTTCATACAATTATTTTGCCGAGGCCCTTGAGAATAAACATGACTGGCTGGGAACTGCCCTTTAATCAATCTTACCCCCTATTAACTCTGCACAGACCTGCGTGCTTAAACTGGCCGATCTAGTCTCACCCCCGGTCAACCTCCCCACCCCGAACGCCACTCCCTTTCTCTTTTCCCGTACATTCCATGGCCTCTCTGTGCCCCTTGCTACCAGCAGGAGTAGCGTTACAGTTCCATAGAAAAGAAGCTTTCCTTACCTAAAACGAGAGCGTCTTCGCTCTCCCGCTTCGGCTACCAGAGCTCTGCCTGGGCCACCACGCCTTTCCGGAGAGCTTTATCTACTGCAGCCAACGTTGGTTTCCTCCCAGTTCGGCGGCTCTGCAGATCCTCCCCCCCCCCTGCTGACTCACCCCACGTGGTCGCTCCTCTCCTTTTTTCACCCCCCCCCCACAGCACAGCCTGACTCTCGTCACCTGACTCCGTTCCCCCACCGCCCCTCCTATTCCACCTCCCACCCACTCGATTGTATCATGTGATTGAATTTCATTACTGTTTGCCTTTGCAGGCGCAAAAGGCGCACGGTGATGTCCGCCCCAGTCATTTCATAGTTTGGAAGAAAAGCACGCATAGAAGTGTGCTGGTGTGTTGTGTGCCCCTAGCCGCTGTGTGCTTAGGCGGAGTTGTACTGCTGGTTTTGATCTGTAAAAGGTTGCTGCCGCTCTGGCAGTTTCTTCCCAGCGTTTCCCCCATCATCTGGTCCTTTTAACTGGAGATGCCGGGGATTGAACCTAGGACCAGATGCTTTACTCCTGAGCTGCAGGCCTAGGGTTGCCAGGACCCCCCTCCCCACCGCGGCAGGGGATGGGGTGGTAAGACTTGCCAGATCCAGGTTGGGAAACTCCTGGAGATCTGGGGATGAAGCCTGGGTAGGACAGGGACCTCAGTGGGGTACAATGCTGTAGAGTCCACCCTCCAAAGCATGCATTTTCTTTATGGGAATTGATGATTCCTGTAGTCTGGAGATAAGCTGTAATTCCTGGGGATCCCCAGGTCCCACCTGGAGGCTAGCATCCCTTCTAGCTGGTTCCTTACATAAGGGTGTGCAGTGCAGACTGCTGTTATTTCGCAATCAAAAACGCTCAGGAAATTTATCTGAGGACCTACCGTTTATCTGGCTTGAGCCTCGACAACAGAGCCTCAGCTTTATATGAAGAAGGTCCTGTTGTTACACTCCATCCATCTCCTCTCGAACATAGAGGTAACTAACATCATCCTTTTCTTTAAGGTGGGGTGCAATTCTAAACAGAGTGACACCGTGGCCTTAGAAAGGTGCAGCTCAGTTTAGGATTGCACTGCAAAATCACTTATGAGAACCCAGTCTGGAACGTTTTTCTTTCAGGCAGGACCATGTGTTTCAATGGGCTCTGTGTAGTAACTAAATGAACTGAATTCTAATGCATGCTTACTGTGAATTTAACACCATTGAGTTCAGGGATTATTCACAGTTGAATGTGCATAGGAATACAGCCCAATCCAATGCAAATTTACATGGGAGTAAATCCTATTGAGTTTGACTGATACTATTTACAGTGCAGTCTTAAACACACATCTTTTAAAGCCTATTGACTTCTAAAGGCTGTAATTCTTTTTAGGATTGCCCTGTTAGCATTTTTATCACTGCAGTCTCAAGTCTTGCTTCTTGCCTAGAACAGATGACAACTGGTTGTGCAAGTTTGTGTTTCCTGATGACCTAGCAGAGCTCCTCTGTGATTTAGAACACGGATGAGGAAGTGATGATCTCAGCAAGATTCTGATTCAGCAAGATCCTTACCCAGACACTTTGTTTGTAGAAGGAGGCGAATTGCGCTGGATGGATGTTGGGCCTGGCAAAGCAGAGGCTCAAGGAGGGTTAGAATACCAGGACTGAAATCTGAAAGTGCATGGCTGACCCTGTGTATGTTATGCAGTGCTCCTTTTAGTACAAACTTATTTGCAGGTTCTGTGTTTAAATGACTGCTGGTTGCAAGGGCAGCTGAAAAAGGATCATCAGGCAAGTGGTCAGAAGACGAAAAGCCCGCACTGGTGTTTTCCTGTACAGTTAAAAGCAGTGATGTGTGTGTATGTGAGAGAAAGAGAGCCAACTGGGTTCAAATCTCCACTCTGCCATGCTTACTGGGTGACTTTGTGCTTGTCATTGCTGCTTGTTTTAAGGATAAAATTGGGGCAGGGGACTGCATATGTCACCCTCAACTCCTTGGAGAGGGAGGGTGGGGTACAAAGCCGGTAAATAAAAATAATGGTTGCTACACAGGCATCAGTTGGTGAAAGTTTTCCTGGCTCAGAGGATAACATTTATTGTGTGCTAATGTCTGCTTTCTGAGTGCAGGAAAGACACCAGTCATCAGCTCAAAGCCAACACCACTGAATGATTCAGCAGAAATCGACAGGACAGAGTCTATTACAGTGGTGCTTGCAAACAGTTTCTGGTGACCACTTGCCTCTTCCCCTAAGCAAAGAACCAATTCCAGGTTTCCTCCAGTTAATTGGAGTAGGAGGTTCTACAGAAGAGCAAAGGAGGCATCATTTTTGTTTTAGAAAATCTCTGCTTCCACTGTAGTAAGGTGCTTACTCTTGAATCACATAACCCCTATGGTAGCCATTTTCCCATGGTTCTTGCTACCTGTTCTCAAAATTCCACAGGTGCCACAAGGTTGAGGGGATACCTGATCTAATGGAACCATACTTAGCTACTCATACCCCATAGAGTTTCTGGCGATTCCTAGAGTGGACTGACATCACTTCTGGTTTTTTCTTGGAAGTGACATCTTGCTGTCACTGAGGATGGTTTTTAAAAAATATTTTTCTGTGGCTGGCCACAGGAGTAACAATGGAAAACAAAAGCTGGGGCAGAGCATTCCCCACCCTGGTGGGGAAATGGCAGCCCTTCCTCAGAGACTAAGTCTGTATTACAGTATACAGTATGTTACACTATAACCTATTGGCATTGCATTCAAGCAGCTGATGGATCATGATTTTCTTTGCAGGGGGTGGATAGGTCACATTAGAGGCATAATACCAGGATAAGTTAAAAAAAAAATTCTGGAGAACTGATAACCGAGTTTAAGACAAATAGGATTAGGCTACCCAGGTTAATAAAATCTATTTTGTCATGCTTTTGGGTTTGTTTTGGAGTTTCTGAAGAAATGGTGATGATTCTATTTTAAATTTAAATTTAAATTTTAAAAACTGCTTTGTGGATCCAAACTGCTTGGAAAGACAAGACAGAAATCTGTTGAAATAAAATATTATTCATTTCCCCTTATCCATTTCTGGTAACTTCCCCTTTCTTTTTCGAGCCTGGCTGTATCTGTTGCCTAAAGGGGGAAACAAAACTAAGAAGTAAATCTTAGACTCAGTAAGAAAACTGAGTTGTGATCGCTTTCACATAAATTCCAAGCTACAATCTATCACAGGATTAAGTGTATTAACCGATTGACAGTGCCATCCTAAACAGGGTTACACTCTTCTAAGTCAGTTGAAGTCAGTGGGTTTAGAAGGGTGTAACTGTGTTTAGGATTGCACTGTAAATCAGTGGAATTAAGCAGGCTTTACTCTGGGGTAAATCCAAGGTTGCCAACATAGGCCTATTATTTCGCAGCAATAATGATTATAAGAATTGCAGTACAAATATACCTTTTAAGAACATCACCCTTATCTGAATAATGATTAGGTAAGTGAGCAGGATTTAGAACTCCTTTGTATGCAAGTCTCCATAAAAGAAAAAATTGGCTAGTTGTTTTTCCCCCCTAAGGTAAGGACAAACATAAGTGCCTGCTACTGTCATCAGAAGAGGCTGCTGTGAAAGGTACAGGAGCAGTGGTTAACAAAAGAGGTGGCCAACCCTAGCTGGGCAATTATCTTGTTCTGCCCTTTCCACCAAAGGCTATATATACTCTTTGTGGTGTGATCCAAATAGGGTTCCTCTAAGCAAAAGATCACAAAATTAGATTTTTCAAAGAAATTAAAAGAGGATTTATTCCAGCACCCTCTCCGGAAGACAGATTGCCTTGTGTTTAAACAGATCTAGCCACACAAGCCAGATTATCAGACAAAACTCAATGTGATGTTTCAGATAGCAGCTACTAGGAACTGAGTTTGCAAGCCTGGGTCTGAATAGCCATACAGGAGCCATCTAAACTGCTGAGACATCTGGCTAAATTATACACAGCACTTTATCATCTATGTCGTTTTAAATTGTTTTTAATTTGTATTATAGTATTGAGACTGATGGAAACTGTCCTGAGCCTGCTTGCGGGGAGGACGGGATTCAAGACCAATTAAAATAAAATAAAATAAATAGGGGCCTGATTTGTGTTCAGACCATGCCGTTGGGGGAAGAAGGGCTGCAGCCTTCACCCTTGCACAGTTTGGGGTTCAGAAAATGTCCATGGGAGTGGGGAGCCCCTCCCCCCGCAGTATGGTCCCAACATGAATCAGGCCCCTGAGGTGAAGCTGCTATTCGAATGTCAGGATGGGGGGAACGCAGACCTGGCTCATGGGAAAATGTCACATCTACTTTAACCCAATACATAGTTCAAGATGAATAAAGCCATGGAGCTTGAGCCAAGTAGACAAATGCACCACTGCCTCCTTACCATGATCTCTGTACAAATAGGCTTTCCTCCCAAGAAACCTTTTAGCAATACAAGAGCCTGGGGAATGGAACCTGAGAATCCTGAGGCTCTTTGAAAACAAAACACAAAATGTTTCCCTCTTCCAGGAGTGATGTGAAGCGCAGCGAAGTGAGAAGCATGTTGACTGTAGCTTTGTCAGCCCCACCACAGCTGGGAACAGCAGCTTAACATACGCCATGGCCCAGCAGACAGGTATGTCAGAGTGCAATTCTAGGCATGTTTATTCAGATCTCTTAGTGGGTTCGAGGGGGTTTGCTCTCCTAGTTAAGAGTGTTTTGGATTGCAGCCTAAGGGTGTGATCCTGTGCACAGTTTCTTCAGTCTAAGCCAATTGAAAATCAAGGATGTGTATGGAGTACACAGGACTGCATTGCCAGTCTCTATGCAAAAACAACCGAATCTCGTGTGATTGACGGATTTAATTGTGGCATTTAATTTAATTTCATTGACTAGACCCCACTTCATCACATGCATGTGACGTATGTCCTCAGGTGAAGACATTGACAATGCTATCGCACTGCTGTGTGTTTAAACATTATTCAACAAAAGTTCTTCAAAGGGAGCCTCCAGCTTGGTAGTATCTTACTGGTTTGGTTTTATCTCGCTTTGTCCCATGGGTTTACTGCAGTTTTTTTCAAGTGCATTTCTGTTTCCAAGAGGCTCACAACTCAGAAGTTACAGTAATTTAATATAAACTC